TGTATGGTAATTATCTTTATTTGAAAAGTATCTAATTGATCACAATCCCTAAGCTGTTTTTGATTGTTAGATTACACTCCTTCCCGTGGCACTCCGTCAAAATTGGATGACATGTTACATTTTATGTGTAAATACCTATTTGGTAAGAAGATAATACGAGAACCTTAAAAATATTGTGTCGTTATTGATTTAAGTGTGAATGTATCGGTATTTGATATCTTTTTATATTTACATTACATCTTGCCCCCGTTTCGCAATGGTTACAGTAACTCAACGATACGTCGCAACGGAGCCGACCCTGAAAAATCTTATTACATACTTTCTTTTTGTTGAAGATGTATGCTGGCTTTAAGAAAACCTCGGCGAGAATATCATTCTATAACTTGAACTGAAAGCTGTATGAAAAGTATGCCTCATGATGATGATGCCTTTTCATAGTTATTTTTAAAACATGCACTGCTCATTTAACTCATATATGACACGTGTCTAAATCCGTAAGATATTCATATCCCGTCTCATATTTAATTATGTATATATCAACCATTATACTGTCAATATATTAGTCATCATATTATAATGCAGTATTCGATAGATTCAATCAAATATGACTAATCAATCGTTTCGTATATATTTGCACAATTGGTTTAAGTATGGATCCAATCAGAGGAGGTAAACATTGACTGGATTTGGCTGCAGTAATTGGCCATGTCTACAGTCGAACAAAATTATTGGACATCTTTCTTTTTAGGGCTGTGTTCTAGAAAATGCAGGGATGCTAAAAAATAAAACACAACCGAGAGTTCATTTATTGGATTAAAATGTAAGTAACACCGCCTTAATTCAGATGGTAGCAGGTTCGATTCCTCGCAAGGCACAAACATTTTTATTCATAAGTATTATTGTTTGCATTAATATAGGTATTTTCTACGTATAATATGTATGTATTTACGAAAAAATATATATCTATGTACTCGTATCAGTTATCTAGTACCCATAACACAAGCATTAGCTAGCTTGACTTGGGTCTAGATGGCGCTGTATGAATTGTCCTGAGATTATTATCATTATAAGTTTTTAATACAATATACCTATCTGTTTAGAAAACTGTAAACATAAACATACGGGTAACTATATCATATTGTTTGTAAATGTCATTCTTAAACAAAGTGTAGTGTGTTTAAAAATATATAAACAGTTGCAGTTACACAGACATGATCCATTAATCATTCTGATCTGCTTTCGAAGTGTCATTTCACGAGTGACAAAACATGTTTCTTGAAGATCAGGTCTACCTTCATTAAGCCGAACCTTTATAGTTACTTGATACCTATTAATGTTATTAACGACATCTCTGTACTTTAGGTTTAATATTCTTGCCTTAAATACCATTAGCGGATTATAGAATAAGGTTCAGTTATCTCACTAATTAAATAATATTAATACTTTTTAACTAACTTACATATATTATAATAGTATTATTTTTGTAAGTAGGTAAGTTAAAATAGTCATTAGTTTTGTTTAGTTTACGTATATAACAATAGTATGTATTAAGTAAATCTAAAAGTACCAAGATAACAAGATCCGAATCAAGTGTAAGATATTCCGCCACATTGATCCGTTTTAACATTATGCACAAAGGCGTCACTGGTTTTTGCTCGTTTTGCTATAAATAGAACAGTAAGCTTTGTCATTTTATCATACATGTATGTATGTTATTTTAGAGATCGCAATTCATATTACATATGATGAAATACCCTACAGAAAAGTATAGATTACTTCATTTTTGTCACTACAGTGGCTAATAAGCTTAAGATTCACCACGGACATCACGTTATTATGTGACATCTCCTCCTGTGATACCTCATACGTTGCCATTTCGTAGGATTATAAGGTCTTGCCTTCGTAATCTGTGAATTTGCTATCTTATCGTCAACTAAAATAGGCTTATAAAGCAATCCGCTTGGTGGCAGCAATAAGTGAGATCGATGTAACCACGTAGACGACTTTGCACAAAGTATATCTATAAATAAAATGTCGACTTTGGTACAAACTACGCATCGTTCGTTCATTAATTCGGTAATTAAATTATCTAATACGATGAAATTCCATTAAATTACCATTATGATATTCCCGAATCTTTTATATGTCCATCTTCATCTCGTTCAAAAATCAAAGTTGTCAAAGTTTGTAGAGTTCTATAGGATTTATTATAAAAAGATAGATTTAACCCGGCATGATAAAATTAAAACAATTAGTCTGGTCTTTATTAGTTCGGTATTATATTTAAAACACTGTTATCTAAATATATAAGTAATAAATATTAATTAAAAATGTTGTAACAATTTAAATCTTTTGAAAAATATCTGAAGATAAAACGTAATACTTCCTAATAATCACAAATTGTTTTTGGTTGTTATAGCACAAAAATACTATAAAGAGTATTATATTTATACGTACATACATTATACAATCTTACTAATATTATAAATACGGAAGCTTGTATGGATGGATGGATGTTTGTTGCTCTTTCACGTAAAAACTACTGACGATGACGATACTGAACGCATTTTGATGAAACTATATAGTAATGTAGCGTATAATATAGTATAATAATGTAATGTAGTATAATAACACATATTACATACAACTCATAAATACAATGTCATGTGGATGAAACTGCAGTAATGGCTAGTTTACCTATATATTTTAGTATAAAATAACCGTAATTGTTGTTTCCTTATGAAACAGCAATAAAAAAACAGTTCCGTTGTGAATTCAAGTTTGGGTAGTCCTAAATAATTTACTTTATGAATATGAGGAACCCTGGCTTATATGTAATGTCGTGTTTCTAGATATAACAGTTCCTTGTATGTCAATGTAGGTACTTGTTATTTTCAGTCAATCAGTTCCTGTGTTATACACACAGAGGGATATTTAAATATGAATGTATAATTTCTGAGCAGTTCCTATTAAAGTTGAATAACCAACCAAATGAGTCTCACCAGATTCCTCCATGTTCTATTAATGTAATGTAAACATTGAGTTTTATTTACACGTGGTTTAATACATTAATCCCGAATAGTAAAATAATATAATGTTGTCTGTAAAAATTTAACATCGTTTGTTAATTTTATTCACAATGTTATGATTTATTATTTAAAACCTGCGTATATTACAGTCAAGACTCGTATGGTAAGTTAGAGGTATTCCCCAATAAGATAATACCTAAATGAAACTAAGATCAAATTATTTATATGTAATATTTTTGGAAATAGTACTAACAACACCTTGCTGACTGTTACTGCATATTTTTTGAAAAATTCTCAGAACATATTATCTTATCTTATCTGTACTTATAACTAATATAATAAACAAATATAATAATTAAATAGTATTAGACGTATTTTATACACTTTCGTAGCTATAATAGAATAATAGAATGCCTACCTAGATACAGTATTAAAAAGGGCATTTGTATTATACTACCCTACTTTGTATTATACAAAAAAAATTACACACAGATTTGTAATATCGATAATATTGCAAATGTGTGTAATTTTTTTCATATAATATGAACTAAGTAAACTACTGCTTTATTCATATTAAAGGATCGTATGTAATAAGTGTCAGTGTCAAACTGTAAAATCAAGGCACCGTGTCCAGACAGGCAACAAATTGCACTAGTTCCTTATATACCTTTAAAGTAACTGATACTTATTGAGAAAGGCAATATGTATATTGGAACTAGTGGCATGTTGCAAGAGGGATGACCATTATTATCTGTAACTCTTTAGGGAATATTCACATTTTCAATAATAACTTTTAAAAATCTAGTCCTTATTCTAAAATTAGTGTACCTGCTATTGAGCTCTAAGTTCTGAAAGTTGGATATTTATCAGCGAATACGCTATTTTCCACACGTCAAAGGTTTTGAGTGAAACATCCGTATCTTATCTGAGGGATGTCCGATAGCGTGCTTTCATTGTATTCAGTGTATTGTACGTCAACTGTGATTCACTTGCGGACTGAGACACCGAGGAACAGCGAAATGTTACGACTCGGCAAGTTCCAACACGTCATAATTATTTATACTACAATTAAAATAATTGTAACGTTGTAAGACTTTTAGTATTGAACGTATCTGCGACATGTGAAATCGTAGGCTACAGCAGAAGAATATAGAAATTGACACTTTTTTATTATATCGGTCCACAATAATGGTTGGGTACTGTAATTTCATAGAGTATGTTCAATTTAATTTTGTTTGTACAAATTTTCTAACTACAACACACATACCTAGACATTACGACGAGAATAGAGGAGTTTGAGTTGTTATTGTCACGATGACTTACTAGTTGTGTTGTACATGGCGTGTCTATGTATTTCGTATTGAATAGTGTCGATGTAGCAGCCTCGCGACAACTTCTCTACTATCTGTTTCGTTTCCCGCCTCCGAGACAATTTAACTTGACAACGTGGACTCAGCAACAAAGGCTGTGCGCTCTATTTAGTGCTCAGCCTCTGCCAATGGCGGAATTGTAGATATTAAATGCTTCATTGACAAACCTACGTAATTATTGTCGTAAAAACTACTCTTTATGTAACTTTAAAGTGTTATTACGAATAATGTACCGAATAATTTCCGAGACCGAAGCAGATGTTATTGACTGTCAGTTGCCATATAAGATGCACAAGTAAACTGATTGTCTACTTAAATATCTACATTCTATGTTAAATTCGGTAATCCAAATTATAGAATAGGTAAACATTTGTTCAATGTTAGGTGTTGAAAGAGGAAGTCAAACACTTGATCGTGCAAATACGGAATCGACGACGACGACGACGAATTCGAGGTAGACGCCACGTTAACGTGATGTGGAGGAATATTTTGTAAGCGTTCTTTGTAAGATCGGGGACGACTGTAAACACGGGTGCGCGGAACGGCGCGGTGTGACCATGCGGGATTCGGGGAGGGAGTCGCGTCACTCGGGCGGCCGCCGCCGCGCGATCCGCCCGCACCATGTCGGTGCGTATAGATCACCGAGATCGAGACCGATTCTCGAGACATTCTTCCCGCGCTTCCGTCGACTTGGCTTTCCCGAGCAGTTCCACACGAGAACATTCATTTCGCTCGGTGCACTCAGCCCGCGTACCGCGAGTTTCTAGCGATGATTTGATGGTACCAGTGCGCACACTGCGATCGGCCTCATGTCGCGTAGCACCCGGTGCACCCCATCGCCTGCGCCGACATCACTCTTCCGCAGCAGAATGCGAGCGCGCGCGCCGCTCTCGTCGCCATACACTCGAATTACCCAACAGCCGGGGACCGAGTGTTCGCAGTCGCTCTCCTGAGCCAGCTCCACCGCTGCCCGAGCCCGAAATCCCGCCAGAAGATGCTGGGAAGGAAGCGAGAAGACGACGTGTCGTAGCTGCCGTCGCCGCTTCCTTCTTCGCGCTGGCGTTAGCGTCGGTCCTCGTGGTGGTGGTGACACTCACCCACAGCTCTGTGCTGCGTGCACACAACCAAACGGCCAAGTACTACACGTTCTCCGTGCCGCCGCACCATCCTCTCAGTGAGCCCCGTTCATGTTGCCCCACCGTCGCCCCTCCCGCTTCGCATGCGACTGTCTCCGACCCTGAGTGCCAGGGGCTGCGAACGTCGCCGCGCCGCCACGTCTGCTCATCACCGCCGTCACATGCGGTACATAGAGTATTGTGAAATATACACTTCTACAACAGATGACCCATATTTGCAAACGTTGAGCGTTATCGTATAGAACATATTTATTTTTTTCATAAATGTCCACTTCATTGTAATTATCTCGTGATTATAAAGAAGTGGAAGAATACGAAAATGAGAAATAGTATTACGAAATCGCTGAATATTTGTCAAATTAGACGTCAGTTCATACAGAACACACATGCTACGCACGTTCGCAACCCCCCTTCTGCATGATTAGTTACTGTATCATAGTTGTCACGTGTTTGTGATGGTTAACGTTAATAATTATTAATCATTAATATGATAACAATAGGAGATATATACCTAACATTTATGATTATACCATGATATAAACAGATTTGATTATAGATGAATTGAAAACTTAAGTTTCAGAAACCATAACTATTTCCAGATGCCTTTTAACATTTCATTTTTTATAGTGAGATTTGACAGAGAGAGTAAAGATGGACGGACTACTATATCAGTATACCTACTACAATTACATAAAGTAAAAGAGTCAACATTTTCTTAATAACTTTGTATTGTATAATATTATTACATAATATAGGGCAATTGAGAAAATGTTGCTTAATTGCTTTATTCACCTGAAAATACGTCGCACTCGTGATAAAATACATTTCCGGAATTGTGAATGAATTAACTACAATTTCCGGAAATCGACCTTATAATTTAATTTTAAAGTCTAGTTCTTAAAATTTGAAATTTTAAGGATGTTAAGGGTGGAACATCTTTTAGTAGTTTAAATAACTACGAATACATCTATAAACGAATATATTAATTATAAATGCAGTTTACAAAGATCTATATTTGCATAAGTCCTTAAACTATAATGCCAGTCCACTACAATGCTTATAACGCCAGTAATACTAAACATATTTTTCATACTACTAAAATATAAAAAACGACGTCAACTTCATAAAAGAATGGTCACCATTATCTGATAGTACCATGTACATCAGAAAATGCATCATGATACTTGTAATGTCTCTTATGCGTTGCCACTTCTGACAGTTAATATGTTATGACTCCATCCATTGTTAATTAACTACATTGAAATCGTAACATTTATTTATAAAGAGAAAGGACACACATATTTTATAATTCAATAGTTGAAAATTGTAATTTTGGAACTTATGATTTCAGAAATGTTCAATGTCTATAAGGAAGTGATTTCATTGCATTTATTAACAGTTTACTAGAGTGTTACTGTACAGTTAGATAACTGTATGGAAACTAACACATTATGGATATGGCAGTCGAAAATCGTTCAAAGATTTATTTATCACAAATGTCTATCCCGAAATATAACATTATAATAAAACTATAAATTATTTATCCTGCCCGTAATATTGAATAAATCTTAAATAATGGTAAGTAAAGTGGAAATAAATATAACATTTACCGTTAACCTGAAAACTGCATAATTTCAGCAACGACGCATTTATAAAACCTTGAAATGTATAAAAACCTTAAACATATTTCTAATTTCTTGTTGTTGTTCAAAGTATAAATCGGCTTAATTAATGGATGAATATTAAAAAAAGAGCTAGGACATGATATTATATATAATTTTCCCCTTTTTAAACCCAATACACCCTAAATTTATTATAAGTAATAATAAATAATATTGCAAGAGTCAATGTAAAAGATAATCTTACGCAATAAGAATATAATTAATTACTTGTTTGTCATTGTTATTTCCCCTTATGACGATCGAACCAATCCCTATAAGATCAGTCAGAATGTTCGACTTCATATCGATGAAGGCTTTCACTGCTTAGTGTAGCCATAGATACATTTGCTCTATCTTATTTATTGATTGGATTCCTGGCATTGTAATGGACTTATCACTGCTAATTACAGATTTTTTCCTCTCTAAGTGGAATCACTATTCTCTTTGTGTTTCTTTGATGGCAAGGATAAAGGAGTGCGTACAATAAATTTATGATATTTGTCATAGTTGCGATATTTTTGTATTCTCTTTATATTATATCAATATAATATGCGATATAATTATATTATATCCGCCCGCTCTAGCGTCACACGAGTAAACTAATGAAGAAAATAATACAGATTTTTTTCTGTACAGTACTACCGACTATTTTATTTTGTAAAGAAGCAATTAATTCATGTAATATAAATTCCGTCAATATTTTTTCAATATCTGTTTATGTATACATTTTTACTCAAAATTCTCAGCTATTCTTATGACTTCGTACACATTTTTCTTTCACAAAAAACTTGTTTAGAACAAAGAATCACTCGTATCTATTAAAAAACCGCTTCAAAATCCTTTGCGTAGTTTTAAAGATTGAAGTATATATAGGGACGGACATATAGCAACAGCGACTTTGTTTTACACTATGTAATAATGATTTAACATTTGTTGATCATTTATTTATAATTTTAACTATCCTTGTGTAGTCGTATATACATGCTAATAGAGCTCACTATTTCGTATGTTTATATTATTATCTAAGTAATGTACGTCAGTTATATGCTTAAATATTATAGTCAATTGCCGGTACTTATTCTGAAGTACATATTAAGTAATAATAATAATAATAATAATAATAATATTTATTTATAGAAAAGAATATCATGAGACACAATTTCAAATATAGACTTAATTAATGCCTATGACTGTTAAACAAAGTGGTCAGTTGTGTGTATTAAACAACGGTCTCTGCACTAAGCATAGCTTGTATCGCAGGGTGGCCCCTGACTATGTTTTACAAATTCAGTTGATTTTAGGACAGTCAGTTCTAATACAGCGTCTACATAAAATTTAATATTATAAGGTAATTTATTAATTAAAATAAAGATTAAATATGTGTGTGTGCGTGTGTGCATGTATGTGTGTATGTGTGTGTTTGTGTGTGCGTTTGGATGTGTTTGTTTATGTCTTTGGAGTTATTTATTTTGTGAGAATGGGGATGCTTAGTTTTGTGACTCAATAATGTTCAAGTATTAAAATTATTTCGCACTTTATACAAAGTAATATCGAAACAATTTCAAGACATTAATGCCGTGAAGTACAAAAGGGTTTACATATTATAACACCGGACACTGCCTTGTCACAAGGACTATTTCTGAACTACGTTTAGAATTATCACTAATACTCACAAAACAGTGTAGTAACTGTTTTCATATTATCAGGTCATGTTCTGAGAAATTTACGCTCGAGGCACGCTGTAATATAAGGCAGGGACTAGCCTATAGCATTTCAAGTTCTATGCTTTATGAAATAAAAGTAGTTTGACTCGAATATACTACGTGATATAATTTTGCATCTCCGCAATACGTTTGCTAGTGAAATATTTTCCTGAAATATGTTGACTACCTCTACAACGATTTGTTTTTTCATCCATTCTATGCAGAAGAGATTAAGGTAGAGTTAGACTTTGTAAAAAATCGTATGGGTATCTTAGTTTCACCTATTTCAAATTTCAGCCCCCAAGCAGCTCTATTTGTAAATTGTGTTATGGTTTGAAGAGGGAAGCTGACAAACTGATAGCACCTAGGCAGTGAAATTTTAGGATAAAAGATCTTAGTCCTCCAGAATATTAACGCGTGGCCGTTATCGTGGGTGTCACATAATATCGAGGTGCCCATTTTATTAAACTTATTATTATTATATATAAAGATGACAGTTATTACTTGCTATATGATGGGCCGTCAAATTGTTTACCATTACCATTACTAAATACAAAAAAAAGATACATATATTAACATACTTAATGTAACGTATTAGAAACAGGCTACAGTACAATGGACTCGAAAGTTCAACAAAAGAAAAGTCCTAGAAAAGAATAAATATTCTATTAACTATGTAAGACTAGGAAAACTACTTGAAATACTAAACTATATTATCTCCCATCCTTTTAACCATTGAAGTTACGTATAATTAAATTTTTTTTTAGTCACAAAGAGACTAGAGCTTATATCATTATTTTATATTAATGCTTGACGGTATTCTCTGTCCGTCAACCGTCGGTCGCGCTGAACAGAGAGAGTACAGGGCAATGCATTAATGTAATGAAATTTAATTGCACCCTTCTGAAGAAATCTCTAACAATGAGTACATAATATGGACATAAACATTATTTATATATTAGATACCTTTATAACGCACTTTTATGGTATGCCTCCGAGTTAATCTACAGAGTGACTTGTCTGAAAAAAAATTAAAGTTTAATTTAGTTTAAAATCTTCAATTTCAATAATTCTACTGCATTTATCTTTTTATAATATTACATGCAAATGCTGAAAGTGAATAAAAAATAATATTAGTACTGATAATTTAATTCGTCCGTCATTAAAACGAACATTTAGTTTATCTCAGTGATGTAGTCTAAACATGAGCTCATTCTTGACTATAGGAATGGTACGAAATTTTATCATGTCTTCAGTCACTACGATATTATTTCTGAACAAGCCGCTTTAACATCGCATGAAAAATATTTTTTAAAAGAGAAATGTCCCGTTCTGTAAACACTATTTTTAATCCGTCATAACAATTTCGTCATAATTCGATTTTGATGCAGTAAAAATACACCGGTTAATCGACAAACAATCGCGGATGTGGTTGCCTTTATTATTACCGTACGTCGTAAACAATGACGCACGGTGATGCCGATTTATCAATGTTATTGCAATAACCTCGTTTTACACTTACCAGGATTGGATGTTTGGATCTTCTATCTGAGTATTTTCCCTGCCAGATATCAATAGCTTTGATGGCAAACGGCTGCGAAACATATTTGCTATTATAAATAACCTAAAACTTAATAGCATAGCACGCCAAACTTGTGAAAGTAGGAAAATCTT